ACACTGACAGGATGCAGACACTGACTGGTCTTCCATGTGAAATCACACTGAGCGATGGAGAGTTGTAGGGGAAGCAGAGGTGGAAGAACATTAGACAAAGATGTTCTGAAAACAACAGTAAGTTAGTTGTTATATTTTGGCAGCTGATTTGACCTGTTTCCCAGCAGCTGCAGCGGTGCCACTGACAAACACAGCTCATGGAGGCATTTAAGAAGCCCAACACGCATCCACAATTTGCATCAAATAACTCACGTCTTCTGGGAGTTGTAACTCAGTCAGATCTAAATACAGAAATGATACTGATTCAGCGCGACTTACAGTCTCTGAGGACATCATTATTTTTGACATACACTGTGATTAAACATCTCACTTTAGAGCAGACTCACAACCTCAGAAGATTTTTGAGAACCCTGTATCACATAACGGTCAAAGAATCATCATAATCATTTGCATTCATCCTCTACAGCTATCTGTAAAAATAATTTCATACACGTGGCTTTACTGTCCCTTGAATCATACTGGAAGTGTGGCTGCACAGCTGGACTACAAAACAGAAGAAAACATGGGTCCCTATCAAGCTAGTGACCTTAAGGAGTGGAGTAAACTGATTATCTCCGTGGACTTTGCTGAAAACCTTTCTTATTACAGTAATGCTAAGTTAGTAGTCTACCAGATTTTGCACCCTATAAACCAGTGCATTGAAGATAAACACAAGTGGAAGTTCTACACAAAGAAAACTGAAGAAAGCCACATTAACCTCAATTCTAGGAGCATTATAATGACTGTAAAGGTGGTGGAGATTAGTTGGTGGGTGCTGACGCCTTTCTGGGCTTGCAGACCCACATTTTGGGGATTTGCTGGATTCACAGCAGGATCCTGTCCTGCCACATCATTCACAGCATTCACATCCATGTGTGGGTTTGAACCTTGATGTGCATGAGATCTGTGCTTGTCTGTTACCTGGAATAAAGCTTTCCTGAACAACATCCTTATACGCCCACCAACCCTCATCAAGCTTGGATGTAATAGGCTGAGCTGCAGGGAGAAAGAAAGACAGGGAGAGAAAACAAATGTAATCAATTTATTATACTACATACAAAGATTCACATATGTTGAAAACATTCAAAAATTCTTTTGAATTATATCTTTAAATTGTCATTAGTCTGTTGGTTATTTTCCTGAGAGAAAGTCATATGGAGGTTTGTTCATATATATTGTTTCCCACACATAAACTAAACTTTACATGGACAGCTGAGGGCTATCACCACCACCAGTATATGTCAGACCTGTCAGAAAAACTGTATGTGGCATATGGACTGGACTGTTGCACACATTCCCCTATAGTACACAGCACTTGTATGTCTTGTGCATTTCTGGCCTCAGGCCACCACTGATTGTGCTGTATCTCCGCTTCCACCTAACCCTGCAAGCTGCAGCCAGCCTGCCTGACAGCAGCAGCACAATTAAAACAGAGCTGATGGGTAGTTCCCAATGGTAGAGAACCAGGTCACATCCACCAAACACCTACCAAACCTCAGCAGTTGACTGCCAAGGTGAGTGAATAGGTTGCCAGACTCATCTACCCACCTAATGTCCCTTTTGACCTGCAGATCTTTAGAGTGTGGAACTCTGCACAACTAGGAATCCTCAGATCTAACTATGGCCATCAATTGGGATCAGCCATGACACCTGTTAACATGGTGATATTCTGAGCAATGACTGCTCCATAGTCATTACCTACTTATGTTACTATTCACTGTTCACTATAACAACAGCTGTTATAGTTTGTGACTGCATCTTGGACTGTCAGCTGACAGTGTGATGGTGCTTGAAAAGAAGCGTAAGATTGTTCCCCTTCTCTCTCTATCTCTTGTCACCCCGTAGCTGCCCTCTCCTCCTCTCAACCAAAACAGCCACAGCAGACGGCTGCCCATTCTGAGTCTGGTTCTGAAGGCGGTTTCTGTTTTTCTTGTGTTTTTCTTTTCTGCAGTGTTTTCTCATTGTGGGAACTTTTGGCTTTTTCCTCTATAATATAAAGTCTTGGCCTCAAAATCAGAATCAGACTTTATTTGTCATTATTCAACAAGTTGAACAACGAAATTAAAAAGCGACCACAATCAGTGCCAGCATAAAATAAAACCTAAATATAAAAAATACAAAAATATATATATGTACATATAAATATATATATATGTAAAGTGCCTCAATATAATGCATATCCTGGTTTGGCTCCATATAAATAGAAATGAAATCAACAGGAACTGTCAGAAGGGCCACGCTTGGTCAAAAACTTTAGAAGAAAACGTCTCTGCACCACTGCTGATCACAGAGTCTGGATTAGTGCTGCACGATTAATCAAATCTCAATCGCAATCGCAATATCACGCCGTGTGATTACGTAATCGCACAGAAGGCGATTTAAAGTAAATAAATGTGCATGATTCGTGTGTGTGCCTCTGACCGGGACTATCCTGTAGTGTGTGGAGTCCGGTACCGTGTGCAATGTTTCCGAACCCACTGTGTGCAGCAGGTATGATCACGTGACAACCCGGCATACAGCAGACCGGTCCATATCCTAGCAGGATACCCTCTCCCCATGTTCCCATGATCACAGAGCATTTGGAGCGCTACACGGAGCTAACTTTGCCTTCCTCGTGTGGTGCGTTCAAAAAAGGAGATATTTTCCTGGCGAACGGCCAGGGAAGCTCCGGTTTCATTTACATGTTTTTGTTTAGTTTTCTTTTTGACCGTAACAGCAACACTCACCTGTTGTCTCCTCTCTACTCCTCCGTTGTATAGTGTGGGTGGGTGTGTCTGTGTTAGTGGTGTGAGTGCACCTGACACTGTGTGTGCTGTGAGAGAGGAGGGAGGGGGGAGCCCCTCCCGTCGAAGGGGAGAGAAATGCATTGTAATCAGTGTAATGAAATGATAGCAATGCATTAGACTATGAAACTGCAAAAAAGTCGTTTTTTTTCTCTCCATATTTAATAAAAAAGAACACCAAAAATAAACTGTAAGGGAAATACTTAATTAACAAGGAGGGGTTTTGGAAAATCTGGTGCACATGATGCGTATTTATTTATTTTAAATATTAAGTTATTTGGAAAACAGTACTGTAAAAGTCTCAGGTCTTGTATTTCAAATGTTACTTAGAATGTGTATGTTTTAAGTTGACAAATACACTCTTCAAATCTGTCGTTATTCTCTGTGTTGTCCTTGATAACTAGCAAGTATAGTCATGACACCATTCATTTACAATATTGTCCACTATAATTGCAATCGCATATTTTTGTCAAATCGTGCAGTACTAGTGTGCATTATAGACACATTTGATAGAACATCTCTACATAAAGCTAAACATGCACATGTGTGTGTGTGTGTGTGTGTGTGTGTGTGTGTGTGTTTCAAATAAAGTTATGTTCTTTAGCTTTCATTATCCAGCATCTAATCTGTAGAAAAGGTACACAGAGAAACCTATGTTATTCTACCCGCTTAGCCCTTGGGGCAAAACTAAATGAAGCCAGCTGTATTAAAGCCATTTTTACTTGTCTTAAAATCATACAAGGTACTGAATCAGCCTATAATGTAACACAGACATCTTGTTAGTGAAACTGATAAGTGCAGAAAACAAACTGAAACATGACCCATAATGTCTGCACAAAAGCAGACAACAACATCTCTAACATCTAATAAAACATCTTATTATTTTACTTTATTGACTGAATCTTGAATGTACAGGAAATATGGTACTGAGACTAAAACCCAACTGAGTGATGAGTTAACAATAAGAGAAAAAATAAACAGTAACCAAAGAAAAAGTTTTTTGTTCGCTAATTTATATTTACAACAAAATGCCTTACATCTAATATAGGGTGATGCTTGGTTTCTTTTCATTAGTAGGTGCAACCGCCATTCACCACCGCTATTAGTCACTGTAGTTGTATTGATTTGTATTTCTTCATTTTGTCAAAAGCCCTCAATGTTGGTTGTGGCATTCTTTGCGAGTGTCTCAAAGCTTATATAGGGTGGGTCATTTCCTATGCCTTTGAGTCAAGACATGCCAAACGGACCAGACTAACAAGATAAATGTTTTAAACTTCTTGAATCTCCAAGAATGTGAATTATATTTTAGTAACCAGCTGACAAAGCGGCTTCAAACATCATTCCCTTTACAGATATTATATCAGCTGGATTCAGGCATTTTATCTCCATCCCCTTCATTGATATATTTCTCTTCAACTAGATACAGCTAGATGAATGAAAACAGGTGGGCTACATTCCCCTTATCTCTTATGAGCTGTGTAAACCTGATAAGATTCCTAAGAGGATTCCTTCATGTCTTTCAAAGCATCCAAAATCTGTATCAATGATCTTTCTTGTAAGCCCTGATCAGGATCTGAAAGCATTTCTCAGGAACAATAACGCTGCCCAGTTGAAGACATCAGCTAGTTGCTCTGACTGATTTGCTCTCAGGTCCCAAGAGCAGTCTCAAAAATCTCTCATAACCCAGCTGTCATGACAGTAATACCATTAAGATTTTTGATTTGAGGTTAGAAAACAGAGAGCATTTGTATTTCTAGGAGCTCCTATACCACTACCATGTCTGCATTATTATTTGTGTTTTGCAGTGACTCTGTTTAGCAATTACCACAAGATGTTGCTACTGAAGGACAGCTCATTCTGATGTTACTGAGCATCAGTTATTAAAATGATTAATTGACGACTTAGACAACAGCTGTGTGTTTTTGTGTTCCTTTGACCCTCTTAAAAAGCTGCAACAACCAACGTCTGGCTTGAACCCACGACCACGAAATGCAGAAATTAAGAGCCTCTTACTCAATTCAGCAAGTGTCTCAGTGCCCTCTTAATTGTGCTAACTTTCAAAGTACTCAGCCACCCAAACTATCAAATTTTCATTCATGTCCAGAGAGCCCATGTTCTCTGACAGCAAGTTAGAACAGCCAGTTTTTGTTCTCATGTGTCCGTCCTAAAAGACTTCTATGCCCAACATGGAGCTCGAACCCACGACCCTGAGATTAAGAGTTTCATGCTCAACCAACTGAACTAGCCAGGCCTTTGCTCTAATATACTAATTTTACAAGAAGTCATTCAAATAGCAGAGGAGGAAAGAATGTCAGAGACTTCCCTGATTGCTATAGCTCATGGGCAGATGAACAAAAGTCATGCAGTCATTGCAGACCTCTTCATTCCAGTGTCGAATTCAAACTCTCATGACCTGAAGGAGCCTCATGCTTCACCAATACTTGTGCAGCATCTTAGCTAGCATGACTTTTCTTGTTTATTTCCAAAGAACTCCAACTCTCAATGTAGGGCTTGACGACACTGAAATTAAGAACCTTTGGCTTAATTCAACAATTTTTCCGTTCATTGGTAAGGTCTAATTTGTGATCCTTTGTGATCCTTCCTGATTGCTGTAGCTCATTGGCAGATGAACAAAAGTCATAAGATTGCACGATTGCAGACCTCTTCATTCCAGCGTTAAACTCAAACTCTCATGACCCTGTAAGAGCCTCACCAATACTTGTGCAGTGTCTTGGAGTATTTCCTGTATCCCTCTTAAAAGCCTTTGAAGGTCAACATGGGGGGGTCATCAAAATTGAGGGATGACTGGTTAATTGACATGACTCCCAGTCAACATTTAATGTTTAGAACTTGAATACAGCCGGGAAACTTTCCATCTTCTCTGTTTTTGGTCTATGTGTGGCAGTGTTACAGCGCCACACAAGCTGGCACAGGCCTGGAGTATGTACTACAGCTTTTGAGTCCTTATCAGTGTGTACATACATATTTCTTGAAATAAAGCCATGGTTACAGGAAACTTTTTCAAAACGAACAAAAAAAAGATTGTTTTGAGAGAGGCTCCATTTCCGTGTGGACAAGTCCTATGTCTGCCCATTGGCACACACCCACCAATAAACCAGCCCCACTGTACTAGTTCAAAATGTGCTTCTGATTTTTTTTCCTTGTGTTTTGTTTGATTTTAATGATTTAAAGTTCAGTGTGTATTTAGGTTTTTTTTTGTTTTTATTTAATGATGTTAATCAAATTGTCCAGTTTGCATGCATATCAGCCTCACGTTGCAAAGCCTGGCCTGAGAGTACAGTAAGTGGGATGATGGGGCAGTGGGGTTCTTCTTTTACAACTGAGGAAGCCTTTTGGATGCGAGGCGAAACGTCTTCAAGAACCTAATGTAGTCCAGTTGCCTTCATCTTCAGCACTTAATGACTACGATGACCTGTATAACTTAGAACCTTCATGGACAGTGGGGCCCAATGTGAGTCAAAATCCCTGTTGCTGTCTCTATGAAAATGTGCTTGTTTGCTAAAAAATTACAGCTTGTCTCAACTCTTACAGTTTGTGCATAAGTCAATACTGACAATACTTAATCAGTAAGAAGCATGAAAGTCAGACTTTTATCCCACTGAGGGATTTGTGTGTCTGTCTAAATGGATGGTTGCCATGCACTGGCACAGCCATATTGTATAAGCTCTCTGACACACTGACAGTGATATCTGATGACTACTTGTGTGCACAGTGGGAGACCGTTTGAGTTAGCCCGTGTATTTAGGCTACTACTACGCTCATCAGCGTCAGTGTGTGTGTGTGTGTGAGAGGGAAATTGAGAGATGTGTGTGTGTGTGTGTGTGTGTGTGACAGAGATTGAGAGGTGTGTGTGTGTGTGTGTGTGTGTGTGTGTGAGGGAGGGAGGGAGGGAGAGAGATACATGCTACTGATCAAAATGCTGGGTTATGATGTGAGTTTTCAGGCATGAAATCAATCATCTCAGTGGTCTGAATCTACCTGGCTGAAGCTCTCCATGTCTTTTAACTTGACAAAGAGCCTGTTGACACAAGTAAATACTGTGAAACACACGCTTCATTGAGAAGTGAAAGCAATGGCTCACCTGATCCATTTAGGTGAGCACACTTTGATACTTAAGTACTTAAACTGACCTACTGTTAATGCCATCATTCCTTTAAGTTAAATGTTTCTATGATAATATTGTATATCTCCTTACCCGATGATGTGCAGATGATATATGCTTGAAAAATCACAGATATATCCCAAACGGCACGCATTCTTCGTTCAATTCATGCTCGTTTCCTGCAGCTGTTTGGGGACGGCGCGTTGCAGGGTCGCACTTCCAGACGACACGGCCAAACTTTGAGCATTTTCCCTCCTCTCCAGTTCTGGTTCGCCTTATCCCCGTCTCGTCCTCACGGAGCGCCGAGATGGTTTGAAGCCTCGAAGGAGATCCGCCCTCACAGCACTGTCCTCTTTCGCTTCCCAGTTCGGTGCCTGGTTTGACAGCATTTCACCCTTCTTCCCCTCGTTTGCCTCACCTATCTGTTTATCCACCCGTGAGAAATTTCAGCTGTGAAATCTTTCATCGTGCATTCTCCCTCTCTGCTTTTCCTGAGGATCGGGTGGGTGTTGGGTGGCGCAAGGTTCGCCTACTGACGGATCAGGCAACTTTACTGACAACGCAAAACGTGCAAAGAGCGCGCAGACAACGTGCTAATGATACTGTATGATGAGAGTTATCTCTGTGAAGCGCGCGCGCGCACACACACACACACACACGCGAATGAATGGTAAATAATAAGTCATTGATCGACAAATAAATCGCTACCCTACAAATAATGTGGTGACACATAGCATGGAAAAAACTTTAATAGAGACCACAGGCTGCTAGTGGGACATAGCCTAATATAAAATGTTACAAGCAGACACTGTCAGATTTGAATGATTTTATTCCACTTTAAAAGAAACAGTTAATCATCGTCAGTGAAGAAGAAGAAATCACCACTGTCAGCAGCTGGTGACTGATTTTACTGTACAGAATTAAGAGACAGTTGCGGAGAGACCAGCTCTGGATGCAGCAGTGTGATGGCTTTGATGAATGCACCGCTGTAGTTACACACTCTGGATCTCCTTGCTGTGGACGTGGTGCGACATCTATCGGTAGATCTGTTTTATTTTGAAGTTCCTCTCTTGTCTTCCTGTGCCCTCTTGTGATTACCCCATGTGTCTCACCTGTGTTGATTACCACCTGTGTCTCGTTTCTCCCTCGTGTCTTTAACCTCAGTGTTCTCCCACTGACCTTTGTCTGTGTTCGTACCCTGTGTAGCTGCTCTGTGTTTTCTGCTTTTCTGCTCAGTTTTTACTTTGTATATTGCTGTATGTTCTTTTGTTTGAATGGTTTTTATTTCATCTACCCATCGTCATCACGTTTGTCTGCATTTAGATCCAGCTCCTCCAAACCTGACAATAATCAAACACAGGTGAGACACATGAGGTAATCACAGGAGGGAAAGCACAGGACGACAAGAAAGAAACTTCAAAATAAAACAGGAAGGAGAGACTGACCATGACAGAGTAACTGCTTTTAAACCCCAAATTTATAACCAGTCTGGTTTTAGATAGTGTAGAGTACTGAACAGTGGAAATGCCCAAATAAAACAAATCAAAACAAACACAGAGATCAAATTAAATATAATTAAATTAGTGTGTTGTTTTTGTGTACACAATGGCTGTATCATACATTAAATTAAAAATGTAGTATGTTATGACATGTTATTTTTGCCTTTAGCTTTTAGTTAAAGAAGGTGTATTGCATTTCAGTACTGTCCAGCAGAGAGCAGCAAAGACCTGCTGCCAGTAGATGAAAAGACCTGTCATGTGTTTTCATGCTGAGGTTCAAGGGAGCTTTTCTTTTCAGGGGCAGATGCATAGAGAAAGACAATTAACTGTCTAACCAATGGTTTGGGGGCATGATTATGGTGGCCATGACAGTCAGCCTTTCACAATAAAGTATTTTCCCATGGGGCAGCCAGCTGGTGGGAAGCATTTAACTCCATGTTAGATTTATGTGTGACTGGGGTTAGTTTTAAGAGATGGTTTGTGCTGCAGGAGGCCTGACAGATAGTTCTTGAATTTCTGATGAGTCTTAAACTAATTGTGTTAGCCAGTGTTAGCAAGCTAAAGGAGGATAAAGTTAACACAACAGGAGGAATTGAGATAAGGGGATTGTCTTTCCTTTAATGTCATGTGATGTTATCTTGAGAGACGCTGATTTGACCAATCATGTACAAGGCAGACCACATAATATCTTGAATCATCTTTATTTCTGAGTATGTTTCCACACATGTGGAATTTGCTTTGGTGTTTTGATGTATAATAAAAAAAAAATGTGAAAAGAAAAAGATATACGGAAAGGTAAAGCAATGTAAGTATCATACTGTAGGTCAGGAATGGAAAAAACTTTATGATTTTACAAAAGTGAACAACGTGCAAGGAGACTCTGCTTTGGCTCAGGCTGCCTGGAAGAGAGGAAACAAGAAAAGGATGTGTCAGATATCTGATTATGAGTTATCTACTCATTAGCCAACTGCACCTCTGTCTCACACACACAGTGACACACTGGTATTACGTTAACTCCTTCTATTATTCACCTTCATCCTGTTCCACACCTGACAAGGCACCAGTAAGAATCTACTGAGAGATGTAAGATTTAACAGGTTTAACTGTCACTGACTGTGACACACACATATGTACGTGTCACTGAACACGCCCTGCCACTCAGCCACATCCCTACCTCTTGCTTAGTTTGCGGACAACGGATTTGTTTATCTCCCTCAGCAGAGTCTCCTTGTTGTTCTTCATGTTTGCTTTCACCGTCTCCAACAGAGACATGATCTTCTCCTGACTGAAGGGACGCTGGAAAGTGGAGAACTCGTCCATCTTTGCTTTGAACTCCTCCGCATCTATAAATACAGTGGGGACATGTTAGGCACTGATCACACGTGGCCTTCGTTTTCTATGACACCTTGTTAAAAGTATAAAGGGGAACTGGGCCGGCAAGTGGCAAAACTATTGCTTAGAGGAAGTGCTTATAAACATATACGTGATGGAGCTGATCTTCTTTGGATTTTATTCTACAGATCAGCTGCATGTTTGAATTTCAAAGGTATCTGTGTGGCTCCTGCTTGGTTTCAGACATCTGACCCTGTCCACTCTCAGTGTTGCCAAATACTGAAAAACAAAACTAGA